CTGCTCATGGAGAAAGGTCACCTAGCACTAGTCATAAGTCATGACATAACCTGGCCATGGGAAATTCCGGTTTACTATAATGTCTATAATTACTATATGTCTTTTCACTCAGAAGGGTAAAGATGTACACCACATTCTTCCAGATTTCTGTGTGTGAGGTGCCAGGTGGAAATTTTGTTGCTCTCTATGCTTCCGACACCATGACAGTCTCAGTCAAGCTGTACTCCAATGGTCTCGTCACGGCAACTGTTGAATATTACACCGACCAGGTCAACGAGCACAAGATTGCTAATGACGTAAGTTTGTTGTGGTGATGTTTCAACTTGAGTTTATCACATCCCATTTGAGTGGGTTTATAAGTTTTATGCATTGGAGGCAATTTTTTTGCAGATAATTTGTTTAGAATTGAACAGTGTTTCAGTAACAATTTAGTCAGTTATTTTAGGTTTGAGAACGACTTGCGTAATGTATTCCACTTATGAAATTAGTCTTATTGAATGCTGAACAAAGATCTTGTAAAAGAGAAGTAGAACTTTAAAACTAATAAATCATAGACTCATTTGAAGATATGCCAAAGTTGTATCCTGAAGTCAAAATAACATAAAGCATGTCTGTACTTTAGAAATGTCCTTTCATTGTTGTAGTCACTTTCAGTATAGGATGTAGTAAATTATGGGTTTGTTATGATGGTTTTCAGATGTTTTTTTTTATTCATTTATTATTATTTTTTTTTTACTTACTGGGGTGATGATAACGTGTTGTGGTTATTAATGCAATATCTCTATTACTACCACCGCTCATCCAACAGACTGTAAGTGCCAGACCAAATGCATGGATTTTTGCTTGACTCTTAGATTTAATTTCATTAGCAGTCAGATCATTTTGCCTTTTGCATTTCACATAAAATTTCTGTGTTGGTTTAATCTGCACCGATAAAGCATCAGTTATATCACATGCATATTGTTGAGCATTTGTCCCAGAGATGGTATCTAATAAAACAGGTAAATTTTATTAGTATTTTATCCTTTTATTTATTTTTTTCTTTCCTTCTTGAAGTACCTCTTTTTTTATATAACTAAATCATTATAATGAAATTTGTGTTCGAATAAAAGAGTTGTTGGAATTGCAATTTTAAATGTGTTTTATAGTAAAATTGAAATTTGGAATTTGTGTTAAAAGAGCTAGCTTTTGTCATTTATATTCAGCACATTATTCAGTACCTTTTTACAATTTCTTAAAGCACCAAGTAATATTTATGAAGAATATTAAGAATAAAAATAAGATATATAAAACCGAGGAAGCCGAAAGTTTCCTTGTGCTGTTTTTTTTTTTCTTTTCTTTTTCTTTTTCTTTTCTTTTCCTTTCCTTTCCTTTCCTTTCCTTTTAAAATTATTTTTTTATATTAAAATTATGAAATGACATCACACTATTCATTACCAGCATGTCTAAACACTTGAAAAGGAACAAGGCGTCAATACCCACCCCTTTATTGTTATTTTTAGATATTATTTTTTCAGAGAGGTAGGGTCCTATTTGCTTGAGCATTACATACAAGGCTCTGTACTTTCTTTTGCCTCTCTCTCACTCTCACTCTCTCTCTCTCTCTCTCTCTCTCTCTCTCTCTCTCTCTCTCTCTCTCTCTCTCTCTCTCTCTCTCTCTCTCTCTCTCTCTCTCTCTCTCTCTCTCTTTCTCTCTCTCTCAGTCTCTCTCTCAGTCTCTCTCTCAGTCTCTCTCTCTCTCTCAGTCTCTCACTCTCACTCTCACTCTCACTCTCACTCTCACTCTCACTCTCACTCTCACTCTCACTCTCACTCTCACTCTCACTCTCACTCTCACTCTCTCTCTCTCTCTCTCTCTCTCTCTCTCTCTCTCTCTCTCTCTCTCTGTACATTCATATTCTGTAATATTATTCTCACTTTTCTCTTACTTGCATCTTCCCTTGCTTCTATTTTTCTGTCTCTCTTGCTTGGTCCCCCTTCATATTCCATATTAATAGCAGTAAGAGTAGTTCCTACTTCATCACTGTCAGACACAGACGTCAGTTTTAGTGTTTGAAGTGTTATTTGTAAAGTGGTAGTGATTGTTTGTTTACAGCACAGTTTTTTCTTAATGCAGTCAGGTTTGATATTTTTTAGTTCCTTCTAAGAGGAGAGTTTGATTTAGTCATGACTCATGTATTTTGATTAATGGAGCTTTATCAGTAGAATGTTCAAGATTAAGAGAGAGGTTATAGTTATACATATGACCATAAACTGACATGTATAATGTTTTGGTCATTGTTTTGTAATTTGCTTCACTACTTCTACAGCATGGAAGGGCCTTGGAAAAGCAGCTCATGGCAAAGTTTGGTTGCAGTGTGGCCAAGGTCTTACCAGCAATCAAAAGGGCTCCCCCTGTCAACCCATACTTTACATCTTCAGGTTAGGAGATGTGTTAATGCTTTGTGATGTTCATTTATGTTGGAATTACTTTACAAAGGGGGGATTGGAGAGTTGTAAA